GGCCCTTAAATTGGGGTAGTTATAGTAGACTGCAGGGGTTGTGACATTGGGAGTGAGCCTGAGGTGAGACATACCATAGGATGGGTATTCTTATTTGCTTTCCTTTTATCTGAAACGCAGCCACTTCTTCTGTAGTGAAGGTCTCTCTTCCAAGGTCTGATTTCTTTAGGGCCTTCTTGGTTAACTTCATGAAATTCAAAGAGCTGAATACAAATAAGCCTACCACGATATGTTTATACTTCAAAGTTGTCTTTCAGATCATTGACAACCCCCTCCCTTACCTGTGGCTAAAGGAATAAAGGGGAAGATGGTGCTGCTTCTTTATTCATATTGGAAGTGAAAAGAGATTCCTGAATATTGAATGTTTTGAGGTAGCATGAATCCTAAAAGAACATCTAAATCAAATACATTTTTTGTGATCACACTGAAGCCCACAAAATTAAAGTGTTCTGCATAGGGTCTAATATATATTTAATGTTAAACCTCAAACTAGAAGCCAGGCCTCCTGAATTCAGTACTCTTTCCATTATACTGGTATGAGATTATGGTTCCCAGTCACTGAATGGTGTAACGAATCACATTGTCTAAACATTGTCAGTTGAGTAATGAGTGCTTAGATTTTTAGGGAAGTAACAAATACCAGGAGAGCTGGGCTTAGCGCACATGGATTTCCATGGTTATATTTCTCTATACATTCTGCTGTTTACATGTTTTTCTTCTCACAGATTTTCAGTTTAGATCTTGGAGGCATATCAGCAGTGGTTCTAAATGGCTATGATGTAGTAAAGGAATGCCTTGTTCATCAGAGTGAAATTTTTGCAGACAGACCATGTCTTCCTTTATTCATGAAGATGACAAAAATGGGAGGTATGTTTATTTTCAACTATTTAGTGATCTACTAAACTATTTTAAATCACATTCCTTATTTTAAGTAATTTTAGTTACAGCATACAGTTGGGATCCTTGTATTGGTAACAGGAAGGCACCTATAGACTTACTTACAGAACTTAGTTTTTGAACACCTTTCAGGTTATATTACCTAATATTTTAGACTAATAAATGCTAATTTTATCGTAGTCTAGATCTATTAAATATTATAAATAGTATTTTAAAGAATTAGCACTTAATAACATCTTCAGGTTTTATGAAACAAGTTAGGAGTACACTTGAATCAGAAGTGTCCTTTGATGCCAGGCTTGAATACTTGGTGACATTTTTACTACCTTTTTTAAAATAAGCTTACAAAACTTGAATCAGCCTTTCTTTGGGGGGATGGGGTGTACCAGGGATTGAACTCAGGGGCACTCAACCACTGAGCCACATCCTCAGCCCATTTTGTATTTTATTTAGACACAGGCTCTCACTGAGTTGCTTAGTGCCTTGCTTTTGCTGAGGCTAGCTTTAAACTCAGGATCCTCCCATCTTGGCCTTCAAAGCTGCTGGGATTCCAGGCTTGTGCCACCATGCCTAGGAGCCTTTCTTAACTACTACTCATTATGTTGTATAAATGGAGCATTGTGGGGTTGAAATAAAGGAGTGGTTTGCATAGTTTAAGGTTGAATAATGTTGTATGATTTTATATTCAACAAGAGAAAAAAGCTGAAAGTTGACAAAAATCAGTAAGAAAAAAGCCTAAAATATAGAATGTTGAAATCAGATTCA